CTTTAACCATGGGTATCCGAGTCTCTCGAAGCACCCTATTTAGCTAGAGTCCAAGCCCTGGGGCCTCAGACCCACGTCTGTTGAGTGCTCATCAAGACAATTTTCCAAAAATACTGATGGCATGGCCTAAGATAAGTAAAAGGTAAGAAGGGAGAGGAAAGGAAGAAAGAAGTAGATAGGGAAATGCAACCCATCCGATCCAGATAGGTACCCTCTCAGGTGTTTCAAGTGGCACTAAATATCCATGACAGTTTGGCCTTAAGCTGTTCACACGAAATTGTAGAGGACTTCCAAGATCTGGCAATAGAGATTCTTCCCATTACAAAGATAAATGTTATTAGTCTCCTTGTGTGTCCCAGCGTCCCATACACTGAGCATCCCAGTAGTGCTAGATGTGGGGATTTTGTGAGGTTTACTTGGGTCATATACATTTTTAATCTGACAATCACCATTTTTAACCAGGGTGTACATGGTTATTGGGGATATAATTTTATGTGCATGCTCTTAAAGCTAACTCCAAGAATAGGAAAAAATGTAGCATTGCATTACATTGCACTTTCACTGCAAGGGTTTACAGGTGGTTCCATGGCATCATCACATATAATACAGGGCTGTTAATCTTGTATTGTATGTTGAAGGGGCAGGCAGGTAGTTGAAGGAGAGAGCATCTTAGAGACAAGAAACTGCTGAAGCATGGGTACGGTTGGTATTTACTCCTTAATCCGGCACACCTAGACATAATGAGGTTGATTTATTAAAATTAAAATTGGATACCATGCAACGCTGCACCAGATTTTGCACTTTCCAGTTTTAATAAATCATAAGGGTTCATGTACACTGCAGCTGATAAACTCACGTTCAGGAGCTTTTCTGCATTTTTTTCAGCAACCCCTGAACTCTCCCTAATGTTTGCTATGTGTCCATGCACACATCGTCGTTTACAGTCGTATACAGGCAGTTGAGTTTACAGTCATTTTTTTTAACGCAGCAAACTTGCATTAAGGAGTAGATTTTATCAGCGTTTCAAATGCCACACACGCTTGTAAATGCGGCTAACTGCATTTATAAGCGTTTGTGTTTAGAAGCCTTTTTTGACAGGTCCATATCCAGGGCACAATTCGCTAAGAGGTATCCTACCGCATCCGAGTATGCAGTAGGATACCACATAGCATTTGTTTTTTAAAACCCATTCGAATCCACTAAAAAAGGCTACTAAAATACTGCATGATTTTATCAAGCCATTTAGTAGTGAAAACCATGCATCATGTTCCCAGTGACAGCTGGATAAAAGAAAGAATTGCCGGCAAGTAAAAAATAATTTTAAAAAACATCATGGGGTCCCCCCTCCCATTCATACCAAGCCCTTCGGGTCTGATATGGATTTTGAAGGGAAGCCCCACACGAAAAAAAAAAAAAAAATGGCTCCCCCCAAAATCCGTACCAGACCCTTATCCGAGCATGCAGCCTGGCAGGTCAGGAAAGGGGGGGGCCAGCGAGCGCAAGCACCCCTCCAATCCATACCAGGCCACATGCCCTCAACATGGGGGGTGCATGTTGATGGGGACAAGGGCCTATTCCCCACAACCCAGGCTGGTGGTTGTGGAGGTCTGTGGGCAGGGGGCTTATCGATCTGGAAGCCCCTTTTAGGAAGGGGACCCCCAGACCCTGCCCCCCCCCACGTGAATGAGTATGGGGTACATGGTACTGCTACCTATTCACAAAAAAAAAAAGCTGTAGTGTGGAAAAAAGACAGGAGACATTCTCAGACAAGTCCTTTAATAAAAGAATATCAAGAATGTCAAGTGGATCCAACGTCAATCACGATGTCACGATACTCCAAAGAAAAAAAACGCTCTGCCATCGTCGCTGGCCCCCGGCCGTCTGCTCAGAAGCTGGTTTGACAGTACTTAAATATGTAAGGGGTGGGGCATCACGTATGTGACCCCGCCCCCATGTGACATCAGTGACCAGCATGCACCGGTCGATGATGTCACACGGGGCAGGGTCACAAGGGTGATGTCACCAGGTGGCCCCACCCCTTACATATTTAAGAACTGGCAAAGCAGTTTCTGAGCAGGCGGCCGGGGGCCGGCGACGGTGGCGGAGCCTTTTTTTTTTTCGGAGCAGCGACGGTGGCGGCGGACATTGTGACATCGTGATTGATGTTGGATCTAATTTGGGGGACATTCTTTTATTAAAGGACTTGTCAAAGAATGACTCCTGTCTTTTTTCCACACTACAGCTTTTTTTTGTGAATGGGTAGCGGTACCATGTACCCCATACCCTTTCATGTGGGGGGAGGCTGGGATCTGGGGGCCCCCTTGCTAAAGGGGGCTTCCAGATTCCGATAAGCCCCCCACCCACAGACCCCCACTACCACCGGCCAGGGTTGTGGGGAAGAGGCCCTTGTCCCCATCAACATGGGGACAGGGTGCTTTTTTTAACCTACATTTTTTTAACCTACGTTTTCCTAAGCTCTGCGTACATGAGCCCTAATGAGTGTTGAAATCCTCTGCAGTGTGTGAGTGTGTGTGTGTGGGGGGGGTGGTCTCATTGCAAGAATACATTTTTTTTCTACTTCCTGGAGTTGGGATTATAAAGGATCTATGCTAATACAATTCTAACATTGTTTGACCTTTACTAGAATACAAAAACTTTTTTTTTTTAAAAGGCACTTTCAAGCACTTGTTTAAATTACAATTCCAAAACATAATAATATACTTGATTTAGTAAAACTAAAGTTGCAAATGGGTAGCAAACCATAAAATACATCTCAGTTTTGGTGTAAGCTGTCATAGCCTAGAGCACTGTGTATTATCACTGTATGTTACTGTAGCATAAAACTCCTAAAACATTATGTAACATGTTGCTTGGTCTATTACCCTGCAATCTTGAAGGTCACTGCTTTCTCTGTCAACCTGTGATATATGATTTCTATCCTGCTCACTTCTCTGTTCTGACATTCCTTTTGCTATTTGTAACAATTTGGAGACAATGTGGCTTGTATATATTTATTCAGTAATAATTAAAAATGTTGGTACAGTGACTCTAAAGCACAATATATTTCCCAATAATCTTCTGTAAAATAGATCTCTAAATTTTGAATTTTACATTGTGGATTTTCTAAAGACTGACAAATGGCTGAGCTCTTACACACTACTGTTCATAAATTCACTTGGTGCCTCAGCAATGAGCCTAAAGAATCAGGCTCCTTCATGCCTCCGTGGATTTACTTGCACAGTAAGAACTCACAATTCATATCTTGGGGGATGAATCAAGAGGTCAGATTCTACATTGTAGTGAACAGCCTTTCTCAATAAGAAAATACACAGCAAGATTGACAGCACTATAATTTTAGGCCACTCTCATTCATCACAAGTGATAGAGCTTCATTACTGTCGTGTTTCAGTTCAAAGGCTCGCTCTAAGTTATCTGAAGTTTTAGACATACCTTTCTTCCCTTTGGAGATGGCAAATAGAATTGAGTGTAAAGACAAAACTGAAACAATATCTCAATATGTCATGTACCAGAGTTGAAAGGTATTGATTTAGGGAAAAAAAAAAATGAAATTGCCTTTTTTTCCTAAAGTAGACCAAGCATCTGTGAGAGTGCCTTGTGGGAATCTCATAATAATTGACACAGGGAATATTCACTAAATGAAAAACCGATGCAGGAACAATACCAATAATATGAAATGTACATAGATCTACTGACTGCTGGCAAACAACAGCAAATTGGACATTAGGGGATATGTGTAAAACAAATAGATGCCAGATTAGCAGAAGCAAACGTTGGTATCTACCCTTATCTCTATGAATTCTGGTATGGCCATGTGCATGTACTAGGTTTTAAACTAGACAGACAGGAGATAGTAGGATGCATCGAGTTTCCCAATCAACCAGGTAGATGAATTAAAGACCAAGTACAGTTCATTTTCAGGGAGCACACCTTTTGAGGGTTTATGTGAAAGTGTTGTTAAATGCATTTAAAATAATATATGAGCAAGCTTGTAAAAATGTTATAGTACAAAACATAGAGATTTGTATGTTAGCCACAAAGGTGAGCTCTCAGTAATCCAGGTCACCTACTCTGTCTCATATTGTTTTCAGTCATCCAAGCCATAGTCTTGTATTTTGAAAAGGAGTGAGGATGAGCTTCAGGTTCGGACTAAAGTAGAATTCAGTCCAAACTTTGCCTGTTTGGCATTCAACCAATAGGCGAAATAAATAGGGTGTTCACCTTCCCACCCACCATGCTCAACCTCCAGTTGCAGCAAGAAGTGATATATTTGGCAGCAGTATTAGTACTTCCTCACAAACAATTATGCATTCCCACCTATCTATACAGCCCCCCCCCCCCTCACACACACAAAGGTCCCCTATAATTTATACCAGACCCTTAACCACTAGCCTACAGGGCACTTATACCCCCTTCCTGCCCAAGCCAATTTTCAGCTTTGGTGCTGTCACATTTGAATGACAAATGCCAACCCATATGAAATTTTTGTCATTTTTTTTAGACAGATAGAGCTTTCTTTTGGTGGTATTTAATCACCTCTGGGTTTTTTTATTTTTTGCTAAACAAACCAAAAACAACTGAAAATTTTGGAAAAAAGTTTTTTCTTAGTTTTTGTTTTAAAATTTTGTAATGTGCTAATGATGTGCTAATGATGCTGCAGTGATGGGCCCTGATAGGTGGCACTGATGGGCACTGATAGGTGGCACTGATGGGCACTGATGAGGGGGCACTGGTAGGTGGCACTGATGGGCACTGAAAGGCAGCACTCATATATGGTACTGGTAGGCAGCACTGATAGGTGGCACTGATAGGCAGCACTGACTGGCACTGATAGGTGGCACTGACTGGCACTGTTAGGTGGCACTGATAGGCAGCACTGATGGGCACTGATAGGTGGCACTGACGCGCAATGATAGGCGAAACTGACTGGCACTGATAGGTGGCACTGACTGGCACTGATAGGTGGCACTGATTAGCAGCACTGATAGGTGGCACTGACTGGCACTGGTAGGTGACACTAAAAGGCAGCTCAGATGGGCACTGATATGTGGCATTGATGTGCACTGGTAGGCACTGATATGTGGCATTGATGTGGCACTAATGGGCACTGGCAGGTGGCACTGATGAGCACTGACAGCTGTCATTGATGGACCCTGATAGGTGGCACTGATGGGGCTACGCTGATCATCAGGGCACCACTGATCATCAGTGCCCTGATGATCAGTGTAGATGTCCCCTCTGAGGAATTCTGATTACTGGCTCTCCTCTGTCAGTGTGACAGCTCGTGAGGAGAGAAATGCAGATAACCTGCATTTCCCTATTTACATGCGATCAGCTGTGATTGGACATAGTTGATCACATGACCGAGCCAAAATCTTTGGCTCTTTCCGTTGATCGGTGATCCGCTGTGTCCGAGGGACACAGCGCACTGCTGATCGCCACACGCTCCCGGAGCCGCGGATGCGTGGTGAAAATGGGAGGACGTCATATGATGTCCTCCCAGAATAAGAGAACTGCCTTGCGGGAGGCGGTTAAAGGGCATAGAAGGCCCCATGCAGATTTTTTGCAAAGAAAACCGAGCTAGCTGGGAAATGTCATTTACCAGTAATTTTATTTATTTTTTTTATCATTGTAAATGTCACTTTTGTTTCACAAAGAATGTATTGAGTTTTCCAAGAAAGTACAAGAAAATTCTAGAGGAAGCAACAGCACAGTAAAATGGTGCATAAAGAGAATCAAAAGGAGGCTTACGATATGAGATTTATGGAGCAGGGCCCTTGAACCCCTCGTGTATCGCACTGTATTGTTATTGTACTGTCTCATGTATTGTCCCCCATTGTAATGTACAGCGCTGAGCAAACTGTTGGCGCTTTATAAATACTGTAAAATAATAATAATAATTTACAGTATTATAACAAAAGACACCAAAAAAAATGAGCTATATAATACAGCAAAGTAGCTTGGATGGTAAACCATTCAAAGGTCGGGTATAATATACAGACCAAAGGGGGGTTGCTCTCTGCTGGAAATGGTGAGTGCCTCAATGGGTAGAAAAAGGGAAAATTCTCCAGCTATTGAATAGCACCAGAGCAAGAGAGAAGAGTAGGAAAGAAGGTGAAGTAGATACAGCCTACATCTGTGCGGAGGGCTGAGAAAGAACACTTGCCTGGGGGAGAAGGAAGGGAGAGAAAAAGGGGGAGGTAGAGGGCAATGAGGGTGCCTCGTGGTCCAACTAGTGGTCTAGCAGGGAAAATTCACACAGAAAACAGGTGCGGTCTAAGTTCACCTGAGCTTTATACTCAACCCAAGGATTCCAAACTTTGAGGTACTTAGCGTGTGTGTCATCCTGAATGGAAGTGAGCTCCTCAGCAGTACAATAGTTCACATGAGTCACTGTTTAACTTTAGGAAAAATAAGGGAACGGTTGTCTCCATGCTCAGGCAAGCATTTATCAAGCAGCCAGAAACACTAAGCTCTGGTTCACACTGAATGCCACTTTAAAATCGCGCTTCAGTGCGATTTCAAAGCTACCGGTCAGTGCAATTTCATGTGCAGCTTTCTGGCATCTGTGCAACTTCATGCACAGATGTCTACGCAAGTCGCACATGAAATCACCAAAAACAGTGCAGGAAGCTTTTACAAATTGGTGTTGCACAGATTTGAACAGTTCCAAAGGTACAAATAGGGTGCCACTTGTCATGTGACTTTAAACTGCATGATAAGTCGCATGGGTGTGAACGGGGGATAAATGTCACTTTTGTACATTGTATACATCATACAGGTACAAGTTTAAGGCATCATCCCATATTTAAAGGAATTGGGCATGTTCAACTATTTGCCAACCGCAGGTAGCCGAATGACGGCTGCACTGCGGCTGGCCAGTTGTGGGAGGCCGTCATATAATGTCTTCCCAGAACTCTCCTGCTTGCCCCAGGGGGCACGCACCCAGTGATCTCCGCGATCGCTGTGTCCTACGGATGTGATGTGGTAAAAGGCCAATCACAGCGCCTTTTACCACTGCAATGACACGCTGATCATCAGGAAATGCAATTGCCGGTTCTCGGCTGTACTTTCCTCACGCTGTCAGAGCATGAGGAAAGTACTGCCGAGAACCTGCAGTTGTCAGAGCAGGGATCGGCACCGATCATCAGCGCATTGATGATCACTGCCCAGCAATGCCACCCACCAGTTCTGCCCACAAGTGCCCAGAAGTGCTGCCCACCTGTGCCCAGCAGTGCCACCTACCTGTGCCCAGAAGTGCCACCCACCTATGCCCACCAGTGCCACCCACATGTGCCCACCAGTGCCACCCACCTGTGCCCAGCAGGGCCCCCACCTGTCCTGTGCCCACCAGTGCCCATCTGTGCAGCCCAGCAGTGCTGCCAGTCAGTGCCACCCAGCAGTGCCGCCAGTCAGTGCCCAGCAGTTGCGCCAGTCAGTGCCGCCTATCAGTGCCGCCTATCAGTATCCATTATCAGTGCCAGCTCACCAGTGCCGCCTATCAGTGCCACCTATCCGTGCCACCTCATTAGTGCTGCCTATCAGTGCCAATCAGTGCTGCCTATCAGTGCCCATCAGTGCTGCCTATCAGTGCCCATCAGTGCCATCTATCAGTGCCCATCAGTGCTGCCTATCAGTGCAGCCTCATCAACGCACATCAGTGAAGGAGAAAAATTACATGTTTGCAAAATTTTCTAATAGAAACAAAGAAACTTTTTTTTTTCAAATTTTTTGCTCTTTTTTTGTTTATAGCGCAAAAAGTAAAACACACAGCGACAAGTAAATACCACCAAAAGAAAGCTCTATTTGTGAGGAAAAAAATGATAAAAATGTTATATGGGTATACTGCTGCATAATCAATCCCCTCATGTTTTCCATTGTATTGTTATTGTACTGTCACATGTTCTGTCCCCCTTTGTAATGTACAGCGCTGAGCGAACCATTGGCGCTTTATAAATACTGTAAAATAATAATAATAATAACCACGTAATTGTCATTCAAAGTGCGACAGCTCTGAAAGCTGAAAATTGGCCTGGTAAGGAAGGGAGGAAGGGAGTATAAGTGCCCGGTAGGCAAGTAGTTAAAGGATAAGTTCACTGTTTTTAGGGTGGAGCATGTAACATATTTCCCATAGCCACAGCCATGCCCGCCACCCCCCCCCCCCCCCCTCCACCTGACAGATAATACAGGGAGACATTTCCCCACACTATCTTTCAGATTTGAAAATCGCCCCCCACATGGCCGCGTCACTCATTCACAGAGTTCTGTGCATGAATGCCTACAAATCCCAGCAGCCTTAGCAGCTGTCGGCTTGTAGTTTGCAATGAACTACCACTCTGCTGTGGAGTGCCATGGTAGTTCATTGAATCTTCCTGCCAGTATAGCTGCTTTCTTATACATCCCATACAGCAAGCTGATATTCTGACAGGTCTGCAGAAGACCTGCATAGGATCTGCATAGGATCAGCAATCTACTGATCGCTTGTGCAATGCTTTCCAGGCTCCTTTGGACAAAAATAATAAATGCATACTTTTTTTTACCTGCAAAAAAATGTGCATTTATTATTTTTGTCCAAAAGGTGAACTTATCCTTTTAATGTTTCACTTTAAAAAAAATTGTTGCTCCCTGCCAAAATGCTATATTGTATTATTTTATTTTTTTGCATTAGTATATGTTCCCCAAAGCAGTGCACTGCACCCCATGGCAATTGTTTGACAACCTTCTGACTATTAGACTTTAAAATGATCAGAACTGATTTAATATGTAACTCCATTTTGTCAAAAATAAAATATTGCAAATAAAAAAGTAATAATATAACATACACAAGCCATATTGTGATTGAACATTATTAAAATGTACCTGTAATTTTCTGTAAAATGCAATGCCATATGGCAACCTGGGGGGTGTACAGAACACCCCCCAGAAATGTAATATGCAGCTTGTGTGATTAACTCACTAATTTTCCAAGAAGTTTGCAAAGATACAAATCAGGTGTTGGACATCCTAGCATCATCTGCAACAAACATTTCAGTTTTAGTGAGATACTCTGAGGGTTTATATGTCTAAAGGGATTCAGAGCCTCCCACTTTATAACCCTGCAAGTGCAGCAGCTGATCAACAATAAAAAAGTTACTCCAATTCACATTCACTTTGCATATGGACACAGACAAACAAACAGCTATTTCTTCATAGTAAAAAAAGGTAGTAATCGGCAACAAAGTTTGTTAAAATCCCTGCAATGTACATAGATCACCCACAGGGGAGTATTTTTTTTCTCAATGACAGTGGAGTTACTCTTTAAAAATTCAGCTCTTATTGACTTCAGTGGAATTTGAATTAATGTTCAGAACTTCATTAGCTTGGAAAACTTCCTGTGAACGAAACTCGGGTCTATTTGGTACATCCATCACAAGGAGCAGTGCAGCACAGCAATTGTGCAACACTTGTCTGCAGGTACTGTATGTATGTACGTATATATAAAATAAGCACACATAGCTGCTCCACGTACATATATAATTACAATTTATAAGTGATCAGACAAACTTTGACACTCATCTTGCATGCTGAGCCGCTGTTTTCTGCATCCACCTGGGAGCTTCGTACAGGCAGCCATTACAAGCTGTTGTAGATGCAGTGGCTGAACGAATGCAGCTGGACACAGGTCAGGCATCAACAGCAAGGCTCTTTCTTTCCATACATCATACATCAGCATCAGAGGTTGGTCATCAGCTCTGAGGAAAGGGATTTGTCCCCGAAACGCGTCAGCAATTTGACCGCACTAACAGTGAGAACACCTTGCCTGCCGTTGTGGCCATTGTAATTTTTCTATGCTTTTTAGATACATGCTTCGTCTGTGAGTATGTTTTTATTATTTAATTCCTACAATAAATCTTGGATAATGCACTAGGTGTGTGCGCCACCTGTTTTCTCTCTCTCTAACAGGTGCATGTCAAACTGTTTGTGTTCAGATCCGTGTTCCCGCTTCTGCATATATGTCAAATTTTGACATACAGCATTCCATCTGGCTGTGTCCGTGCAGTCGCTGCATCTGCATCCACTACCATATTGTTAAGATTGCTTACATCAAGATCATTTTAATTTAGATCTTTATCTAAAATAACTTAGAAAAGACTATACACCATCTTTAATGTGCTTAATTTTCTCCCTGATAAACTGGGAATCATGTCTTCATTGCCTGAGGGCGGGCAAGCAGAATGATATCTGCATTGGCAGGAAAATATGTTTCCTGTCTATGTAGTAGTGTCAGGCACAGCAGGGCTAGGTGAGGAGCATGTCAGAAAGGCTGTATGTAGGAATACAGGTATGTGGTGTGTCAGCAAGGTGTCCTGTAACTCTGATCAACAAAAGAGATACAAACTGACCAAACCAGCATGGATCTGCTTCCATTCTTGGCATGGTCAGAGTGCTACAGGCAGAGATGGGAACTGGCAGGAGGACCAAGTATTTTACAGCAATGGAATACATAGAAACATTACATGCTACAGTTTCAAAGAAATATGCATACACAAACAATTATATGGAATATTATTTTGGGGGGTAACATATACTTTGATTTATGAACACACAAAAATGAGTACATGCCATTGGTGCACTAATGTTGCCCCAAGGTTGGCATGATGCCCTGCTTTGTTACCTTAATAGCCTTAGACATACAGTAAGTTATTTTCAATTATTTATAAGCAAAACATTTTGATAATTTGATTTAAAATTGTATTTTGTTAACTTTATTTCTCATTACCTAATTAATAATGTGATAGTGGATGGTAAGAAAATTACAGTCTGCATCAGCAGCAGCCCATATTATTGGAATTCACCCCTGACATGCTTGGCCCAGCTAGTTCTGCCTAGTGACTCAATCACCCTAAAGATCCATATTGCTGGTAGATTTATTTTTAATGCATTAGAACACTGCAAAATGTATTACAGATTTGAAACAATTATGTGTCAAATTTATTTTCTTAATGAGCAAAATTAAAGTATTATATGGCGTTAATATGAGTAGTTAGGAGAACACTTAGGCCTGCAAAATTTAACTGGTTGCTCAGCACTATAATACATATTTGTGTAGATGCTAAGGAATCAATGCTATAGAAATAATAAAATAAAAAAAACCCTATGAAGTGTGGAAGATATGTGATATGTGAACTGGAAGTTTGTGGGATGGAAGAAATGACAAGTGACCGGACTAGTTGTCAAAATATTAAAGCATTCCATAGCAAACAATAGCTAACTTAGGTTCTTGCAGAACTTTAGATTGACTTCCTAATATTGTTAAAGCTTGTCCACCCTGCTTTCACCAGATCACTATGATTAGTTGCCTAACTGGTCAGTAAGAATTTGTGAGAGACAGGAGGGAATGGGCAAGCCTCACCACTACCAGGAAGATTGGGTGCATTGCCAAATCAGAATGGCCAGGAATTTGGCTGTATTGCGTGGAGGCAGGGGGCAGAGACTGAAAGCTGCTGTAGGTACGTGCAGGCACATTCAGGTTGGTTTACATTGGTAAACAGATTCTAGATTTAACCAATTGTTGTAAATGTTTTGCGCATTTGAGTCCTATGGATATGATAAACATACTAAAGCCTGACTCCAAGTTTCTTGAGCCTTTAAATAGTTTATTTGGACCATGATGTTCCAAATTTATTTTTCTTCACTAACAGATACAACTGTTGGAAGTTGTCAAGGTCCTACCTTTTCCCAGAGGTTATGCTGCTCCATGTGCTGGCATCCATCTTGGATTTCTGCAGAGCATGGTGGGAGTCTTTTATGCCTTCAGGCCTCTGCAGTCCATCCCCCAGAGGGGTGTGGTTGATCACATATAAGCCTATTGTCCGCACGTGCCCTTTGCATTCGTGTCTTGTATGTTCGTGTTGCAACAAGCTCTGTTTATACTCTCGTGGCTCTCCTGGAAACTGACTCGGCTTTTGACTAGACTATTCTCTGCATTATCCCTTTATCTGACCTCCCGTTGCTGAACCCGGCTTGAGACCTGTTATTCTTGTCTACCGTTCTGTACTGTCTATCCTGTTGTTATCAACCCGGCCTGCCCAACTACGCTATTGTCTTCTGGTTCCTACCAGCTATACGTCATTGGCGGCGGCTATTACCACAGCTGGGGTGTCTTGGGGGCCGCAACCTGGTCCCTGGCTGTGTCAAGTCCATCCCCACCATCAGGGGCCCTGGTGAAGGGCAGCCTGGGACTTAGACTCCGCGCCCTGAGGGACTCCGGTCTGTGGGTGGTGGTTGTCGTCAGTCGGTGCGTGACCCTGCCATTAGGCCTGCCTGTCCGTTCCACAGCTCCAGTCCTGACAGAAGTGCTGTATACAGGGGTGGGCTGACAACTCATGGGGCCCCCGGGCAATAGGGGATCATGGGGCCCCTGTGTCCTTGCCCAAACTCAAAAAGCCAATTAAAAAGGTACCAGGGGCATCTCATGGGGCCCCCTACTGACCCAGGGCCCTCAATAGGGGATCATGGGACCCCTCTGTCCTTGCCCAAACTAAAAAAAGCCTATGAAAAAGGTACCAGGGACATCTCATGGGGCCCCCTACTGACACCGGGCCCTCGGGCAGTGCCCGAGTTTCCAAATGGTCAGTCCGCCCCTGGCTGTATATACTGTGTGTAGCGTCAACTGCATACGATATACAATGCTGTGTTTCAGCAGCGGGATGGGAAGTTCTCTTCTTGTTCCTGCAACAAAATTAAGTAGGGTTGAGCACTGCTCAAATGAATATGTTGTTTCCTCTGATTGGCTCAGTTGGAGAGGTGGACATCCTGCTTCCAGAAAAAAAAATCAAGTCAGGCTGAACACTACTCAGCCATTCAAAGGAAGCACTGTATTTCATCAAAAAACACAAGGCTTTCTCTGATTGGCTGAGGTGGAGAAGTTGGCATCCTGCTTACAGAAAAAAAATCAAGCCAGATTGAGCGCTACTCAACCATTCACAGGAAGCATTGTATTTTATCAACGAATCATCTGCCCACCTCTTCTGTAAACGACCGAACAACACTCAGCCCAACACGATTTTGTTCCAGGAATGGGATAGAAGTCCCCATCCTGCTGTTGGCAAACAGCACTGTATAAAACCTGGAGTTAGGCTTTAAGTGTAATTCACAGTATTGATTAGTACAACACTGTAGCTTACAATTCGAAATGTGCTGTAAAGGTTTACTTTTAAGGGAATGTATAGTTATTGCATATATATACTTTATTTTTATTAGGGGTAATAATAGTAGTATGGTCAGGACAATAAATATAACTATTGCAAACTTTTATGTTCTGTAAATGTGAAACATTGCATATGAATATTTCATATTATATTTTTATATTTCCGGCTCTTGGCTGTTTCATGACTCCAAGTTGGCAGTTAAGATGACTGCAAATTAAAATATATCTAAACTCAAAAGCAAAAATGTAATTTATTGCAGCTTATCAATTTCTAGATGTGGTGACTGAATTATTTTTTTAAATCATTTTCCCTTTATTTTCACCTGGTAATCCAGACAATGAGTCTGTTATTTTTCAACATATTTTGTCAGACCAAGCTGTCAAGACAAACCTGTAGTTAGAGAGCGTTGAGACAAACCATTTACTACTGAATTTTTAATGATCAACTTTTCTCGAGCAGGGATGGTCATAGATGGATCAATAGTTATGATCCATCTATGGCCAGATTAAGCAAGGGTTGCAACCCCTGTCATTTTTTTTTTTTGTCAACTGTGCCTCATTGGGAAGAATTCACTTTGATTCTGTCCAATAACCACAACCAGAAGTGTGAGAAAAGTGAAGGAATGCCCATTTGTCACCAATATCACCAGAACTAATATCACTATTGGAAGATTTCTCCTGCATTCTTTTCTGGTGACAACCCACAATTTGGGATTTTATTCCCGTTTCAGTGATATTGGTAACTAGGATAAATACAGAGGGTGAATCTTCCTAATGAGGACACAGACAGCAATAAAAAAAACTGACAGGTGTTCAAATCCTTCTTCAGTTGATTCAAAACTAAAAACAGTTTTACCTTTATTTATACTTTAAGCCCTCATATACTGATTCCAGACAGTACTGTCAATTTTTCATGTAAACTCGTTTATTTGGGATTACAGTGATAGTAATAACAAAAGAAAAATTGTATTCTTTATTTTCCCTGTTTGCTGTGTTTACCAACAAACGTTCTGGTAGGTAAAAGTATGTTATTTTTTCTGAGCTAGTGCTAAAATTGCAATCACATTGAAGTCACACAGAAATAAATATAATATAACTGTAATCTAGGATAGGTGTGTGTGCACAGGCTTCCCCTTGCAGTGTTTCATATCAGATCCAAACATTGCAGTTAGCTGGCTTACATTTGCTCTTTTGTCCACTCTTGCACACTGCAGAGTAAAATTATTTGTTTCTACTAACCTCTAGCTGGCAAATCGTGATAGAACAGGCTGTGTAAGATCAAAACAAAATAATCACAGCCAGTTCTGCTCCTGCCATGAAACTAAAATGTGCCTTTTCCTAGGGTATTTTATTTTCAGAGGATCAATCTGATCTGTAAAAAAAAAAACAGATCAATGAAAGTAGTTTATCAGATGACAATAGCTGTGTCTGGTGAATTCCAGGACACTAAAGAAGGATGTTCAATGTATCAACCAAGCATCTGGGAATTTAGATTCATTTATTAGGTAGCATGATGAGTTTTTTATATTCTACAGGATTGGGTATGTGGTTAACACACATCCTAGAATTTAATTAAAATAAGGTGTAAGGGGTTTAAAGGCTTTGTAAACTCTAAGGCCTCTTTCACAAGAGCCTAGCTGGTGACTCATGATTCACGATGGATCATACTGTCAGCAGTGGCTGGCTGGCAGTTAGAAGGCAATTCTGAGCGATTAGGCTGCCTCCCACATACCTGTTTGAAAAGGGATTTCACAATAAAATTCTTCTTCACTGTGCTAGGATCATGTCCATGTAACATAATTAGCCAAAGAAGTAAAATGCAGCGCTGCCAAATAAAAGGTACCAATGATGCAAGTATACAAAGCAATGATGCAAGTATGTAAACAATGTGGTAAAATAAAGATCAATGCAAATATATATAAAAAAATGGCACTAAAGTGCAATAAAGTTCTATGAAGGTGCTCTCTGCGTTTCCAGTGCATATGGTAGGAATGCGCACTAACCAGAAGCGTATTTAAAATACGCGGTGTGTAAATAATCCTGAAGATCCCCCTCTTTCTGGTCAGAAAATGGACTGCAGCTGAAGAGAATGAAGAAGGAGCGCCCTCGTGTGGTGAAGATGGGATCCAGAAAATCAGAGATCACCTTCCAGTAATGCAGTGTTTCTCAACTCCAGTCCTCATGGACCCCCAACAGGTCATGTTTTCAGGATTTCCCTCAGATGAAACAGCTGTGGTAATTACTAAGGCAGTGAAACTGATCAAATCACCTGTGCAAAATAATGGAAATCCTGAAAACATGACCTGTTGGGGGTCCATGAGGACTGGAGTTGAGAAACACTGCAGTAATATAATGGGAAAACCTTGATGGTAAACACACTTTCCCCTCTCTGGAGCTGATTGATCCCGTCCGGGCTCTGAAAAGTAAAGTGCTCCTCACAGGAGACCAAGGGAAATACTCATGGTGTAGTATGTAAATGAAGACTTTTATTGGAGCAAATACAGAAGGGATGCAGTGAAGCACAGTACAGGTAAAACATGAATGACTGACCATTCAGTGTCTAAGATGGCCGCCGGGCCTCCACGTGGCACCCGCGGCGTGACATCACGACGTCCTGGGCTCCAGCTGATGCGTTTCGTGCGAACACACTTCTTCAGAGGTAGATCATGTAACATGATTGCATTGCAGTTGGGACACAGCCCTATTCACCTCTATAGAGCACAATGGCAGGCATTATTGCCTGTGAACCTGACATTTGGGCCATAAACCTTCCTCCTGCACACTGCCTCCCTCACACATGTTTGAAGCAAGATTTCACAATGAAATCCTTCTTCATCACACTGCAATCGTGTCCAGTGAACATAGTTGCATCACAGATGGGGCACAGCCCCATTCACCTATATAGGGTGCAGTGGCAAAAGTTATTGCTTGCTAACGAAATATGCCCTTTTTTTTTTTCATGTTACAGAGCTGTCTTCTGCACACCTGTTTGAAGAGGGAATTCACAATGAAATCCAACTTCACTGGACTGCAATTGCACTTATTGGACATGGTTGCATTACAGTTGGGAAGTGGCCCCATTCACCGCTATAAAACACGATGCCAAGCATTATTGCCTGCAAACATGGCGTGCCCTATTTTTTGCCACACCACAAAGCTGCCTCCTGCACACTGCCTTCCACACACCTGTTTGAAAAAGGGTTTAACAATGAAATCTTCTTCACCACACTGCTATTGCATTCATTGGACATGGTTGGATCACAGTTGGGGGCACAGCAGGCATTATCTCCTGAAAATGCGACATGCTGTATTTTTTTGCAGCTGCTTCCCACACACTGCCAAACCTTTTTGCAATCATGTCCATTGGACACGGCTGCATTGCATTCACCACTATGGGGCGCGGGCTTTCTGGCCTAACAAATGTGATTTGCCCTATTTTTTTGCCATGCTGTGAATGTGTATGAAGCTTAGTGCAACAAAAAACACCTGCTGATCATGACAGTTTTGTTAGCTAAAAACTTCCAGCGCTTTCTACCTGTATATCACTCTTATTAATTACATTGTTCCAAGTATGTCCACAGATTAGAGAGCATATTATATTTATGTTATGGAAAAGGTGTGTTTGTGTGGGGTAGGGATTCCCATAGTTCTGCCCTGTTTGAGTCACTATAGGAAATTAAAAATAAAAGTTTCAATACTGTCCCTGGTTTGAACTCTTAGAGGTTCATGGGCAACATTTTGTTACCAGGCCACAAGGCCTAGCCATTGTAGTATACACTTTTTTATTTATTTTTCTTCACATTTGTCACTGCAGTTCATTGGTTTGTCTTTTTTCAATCACTGAGGATGTTAGAGTGTGGGTATTCAGGCCTGCACTGAAGTCTAGGGGGATGGTGTGTGGTTCTTAGGTTTCCTCCACCCATGTCTCCCACAGGGGTCTTTTTAAGGGAAAGTCCCTAACCTAGTACTTGGTGGTCAGCTTCACTCAGCCAGGAGGACAGCTGTCCGCCAGGCATTTTGTCTAGGTGGCCCAGAGTGGCTTGCTCTGTCTAAACTGTTGCATCCCAAGATGTCAGGGAGGTTCTCCCTCTTTGGGAAGGGACCATTGATGCAATGCATTCACTTTTTTGGTTCACATTGTGTTTAGGTTTTGCATGCCTCACCGTGGGCTCAAAAAAAAAAGAGATAAATAGTAAAATAATAAGCAATAGTGTGGTAAAGTGGGTCTAAACTCCATTTTTTACCTCAATGCATTCCCTGATTTAAAGTAGAAAATGCCCCACTAACTGTTTTCCCCAAAACCTAAACACTTACATCAGGGCTTGAAAAAGCCGCTCACCCGCTCGCCAAATGCGAGGAGAAATTCTTCTGTGGCGAGCGGCGAGCAGCGAGCACAGATGAAGCATGGAGCGACTGCACCTGCGCTCCAAGCCTCATTGTGAAGCCGAGTTCCAGTTCACAACTTACAGT